TTATCGGGCCTTTCCCTGTCCTTCTCCTTGAGGAGAGAAGTGCTCCGTTATTGTATTCTGTGACTTCTACATGAGGTTGCTGACTGTGGTTGCGCAATATTTTCTGAGTTTTTTTCTTTGACACAATACCTTTTTCGTTTCATTTGGTACTAGTTTTTGTTGTTGTTGTTTTTTTTTTATTTTTTTGTTTGTTTGGTTGGGTTTGGTTTGTTTGTTGTTTTGTTTTGTTTTGGGGGGTTTTTTGGGGGGAGGTTGTTGTTGGATTTTTTTACTTGTTGTTGATAGCGATAGTTTAAAAAACAACTTTGATCTGAGATGGAAAATATTCAGGGAAAGGGAACAAAATCTGACCCGACTCATTTATGTAAAAAAAAAAGTCACTGGTTTTGACACGGATATACGTATCCTTCTCTTCCAGGACCGGCATATTTTCATGTTTTATGAGATCATTTGAAAGCAATGTATCTCACAATATATTTAGACTTATGTGAGCAAATTTGACCCACGTTCTCAACTCTTTTACCTTCTCCTTACCCAGTGAGCTACAATAACCGAGCCTCGTTTCAAAATAATTTTGGCAGCACTGGCGAAGGAAAACAAGCGCGCCATGTTCAAGAGTGGATGCTTTGTCTGTGAACTTCCTCTTCCTGGCTCGCTGGCAACTCCTTGTTGACAAAGGCCAATTTGGCAGATCTGTCAACAGCTGAAGCCACGTTCCGGCCCTCTGGTCTGTGGCCAAGGTCAGGGTCACTGATAACCCCGGCATTATTTGCCAATAGTTTTATCTCCTGTCATGAGATTGATCTCAGAATACGTTATAGCAGCGACTGGAGCACTGTGACACAGAGCAGTACAAGCGAAAGAAAGTGCTATCAGCTTTTGCGACACTGCTTGTCAATCGTTTTATACCCAGCGCCCGCTTTTTGCCACCTTAAAGGCTAACATTTTTCATACCGCCCACCTAAAAGTATATCCGAGCGGGGAATAAGGTAATACCTGTCACAATCCACGTGATACCTCACCTACCACCAAAACTACCAAATTTCCCACTAGATGTCGTCCAGATTGGCAAGAGGGGAGGTCTCAGCTGCTGCTTTCCATGACTGACAAATATATTCAATGTTTACTTTACTTTTACCAGGAAAAGTATAGATTGTCTATATCGTTCTTGTATTCACTGCAAACAATATTCCTAGGAAAGAACAATGAAGATAACAAATATCAAATTGCTCAGTCATATCAGTCATAATTAAAGATAAGAAATAAACAATGCTATGCAACATGCGACAATGCAGGCCAGTAAGCTGTTCGGAACCTAATTAATTAATCAATATAATCGTGTTGGCTTGGTTCATTTAAACAATGAAGGACAGTTTAAACAGTTGCTGTGGGTAGTGCTTTAGGACAATAATACAACTCACTTTTACACATAGACATCGCAACTGCTTTTATTTTAACAAGGAGCCCAAAAAAACCCCCCAGAGATCCTGACCACGACAAACGGACGCTTTATTTCTACAGTTAAATATTGGTGGAAAGAAAGCCATGAAGTTTGGCGCTGTTATCATACAGCTTTTTCTCTCTCGAGTTCTTGGGGCAGACCTGGAGAAGAACGATTTCGCTTGAGCTGATGAACACAATGTGTGACCATTTATTGTGTTGAGCTGCAAAAATTCCCAAAGCCATATTGAGAATACTTGATTCCAAATGCAGAATGGCACGTCATCGATTTTGAATGTCATTATATTTTAAAGTTTTGACTATTTTTATTTTTATTTTAAGGGGGAGGGAGTGCTATTTTTGTATCTGCAGTTTTTTATTCTTAGTCGTTTCTAAATATTGGTTATGCTTTCTTTTCTACTTTTCCCGATTTACCTTGGAAGCGTTTGATCGTTGTTTGGGTTTTTCGTTGGTTTGGGGGGGGGGGGGGGGGGTTTGTGTGGGGGGGGGGGGGGTGTCTTTTGGAGCCGGCGGGAGATGTTTGGTTGTTGCTGTTTTTGTTGTTGTTGTTGTTGTTGCTGTTTTTGCTCTTGTTTTGTTTTGGGGTTTTTTGGTATTGTTTGCTTTTCGGGTGGGTTTTTTTAATCTCTTATCTTCGTAAGGGGGTTTCAAAGCGAGGGAAGGGTGAGGGGAACAGAGTTGGCAGCAACTATTTGCAGCAAACGGTTGGTTTCCAAACTAATATCATTGGCACGTTTTGGAAAAAAAGGAGGTAACAGATAAAAAGTTTATTGGAACCGGGAAGAATCAAACTTCACGAGACCATTCTATTGGCGCACTATTTGAACCTCAAAGGAATCTCAAAAAGGAAGAGAAATTGTTAAAGACTAGGGAAGATGGTGCGCACACATGCGTTCGCCAGTGCGTCTGTGAAATTTATGCGAATACCCTTCTGCCAAAAAGCAGAAAAAAATTAAAAATCCGATTAAGGTAGCCCAACAGGCGGGAAAACATCTGTTTCTTCGATTTCATGTATTTTTTATGAGCGCCTGGTTTCACCCAGATGCCATACACTTTGCATGGGATGTAATACTTATTTAAACTGGGCATAAATACATGTATTTTTTTCCTTGATATTTGAAGAAATGAGAAGACAATCCTGAAGTAAATAGACGGGTACGTGAATTGAAAACAGATAGAAATGGACAGGAAGAC